TCTAAAAAAAAATAGTGAGTTTTTTCTGTCACACAAATAGGTTAATCTACTAGTCGCAGAAAAAAAATAACACTACCACATGATGCTAGAAAATTATTTGTCTAATAAAAATGCTACAATAGGAACTAGTATCCTCCTCAAACATTCGATATGCAGCACTATTCCTAATAGTAGCTTAAGCGGGGGGGGGGGGGGAGCGGCTCTCCTAGAACCATAGTGGCGCCTTTTTTTGGAGATTAATTAAATATAATTTAAAAACAAGTTTCATAAATATTTTTTAAAAAAAAAAGGCAATTAGACCTACCTAACAGAAACTACGAATTTACAATTGCCATGCTATGTAGCCTAAATTTCAAAATGTTTAATGACTCATCGCAAGTATACGTCTTGGCTTACTTTAATTAACATTTGTACATCTGCAAACACGGTTGTCAATGATAGCAGGAAGTGAAATTGCAGGTCACGCGCATATCAGCTGATCTAGAACATCTTCCGAGTTGCATCTTGTCAGATAACATATTTTTATGTGGATTGTGTTTTAGAACTATATGCCTTATATGGGGGTGGGGGCGGGAGAAGGGATTTGAATTATTGTACATAGAAATAACCACATTCTCACATAACTTCAAGAACGTTAGTATGAATCAAGATAATCAGCAAGTAAAGTTTTACTTTACTCACATAATTATACTTACATACCTCGAATAAATTTAGGTTGAAACCATTGAAAATGCCTAATGCTGTATGTTTCGCCTGCCTGTAGTGTCCAAAACGCTTCTGACTTATAGCTATTTAAAGTAGCCGACTACTTAACTGCCCTATGGCTGCTGGCGTTTTTAAACTGCTGCGTGCTAGTGAAATCGCTTTTTTATTGTCCGAGTTAATCACCATAAGTTTACTTACAAGTCACTGTGCTATCTCATAGCACGAAGGTAAACAATGCCGACGGCCCGTGTGTTCGTTTTATGAAACATACTTCTTATCGATTCGATCGGAAATAGTTCAATCCACTCCGAGATTATTCGATTTTTTTTAAATCGCGAAGAATTGTGTACAAATCACTGCTAGGATGAGAAAACATCAAAGAATTAGAATACTTAAAGTTAGTTGTCCAAAGAATCAAGCTGAGGAGGAACACGAGGTGTGAACAAGCATACACTGTATGGTTGTTCGTTTTAGTCATTAGTCTGTGATAGAATGGTGGGATGGGATGGCTTTCCGTCAGTGTTTCTTCCAGACTTTTTCTCCGGGGGGTGCTTGAAATTTTCGATGAGGGGGGGGGGGGGCGGTAGACTTTCTTCGGGGGGGGGGGCGGACACTTTAAAAGTATATATTTTCTATATAAATTATATAAATTTCATTTCGTTCGGGGGGGGGGGGGGGGGCGGTAAAAAAATTTCGGGGGGGGGGGGGGAGAAAGAAGAAGAAACTCTGCTTTCCGTGGGCTAGTCTTGACTTGATGGACGGTCCTGTTTTACACCTGAAGCTCATGCGTCTTTCTTGGCTATGGTTGAGAAAATCGTCCCGAAAACCTGGCACAGACAGAGATTAGATTCGACAGAAACTTAGATGAGAATGTTGAGATGATAAAGTGAGCTTCTACAGAGGCGTAGCGAGGAGGTGGTGCGGGGGGTGCGGAACGCACCGGGTGACACCAGTTAAGGGGGGTGACACCAAGGCAAAAAAATAGCAAAATATAGAGAGAAAAACTTGAGGGGGTGCAAATTGAGAGTTGGGGGGGGGGGGGTGCAAATCGTAAGTTTCAGGAGGGGGGGGGGGGGTACAAATCGAAAATTGAAAGTTTGTCCCCGGGACACTATGCCTCTGGGGGGTGACACCAGTAAGTGCCGCACCGGGTGACACCCGACCTCGCTACGCCACTGAGCTTCTGAATGATAAACATCCTTATTGTTTTGAAATATTCTTACATGCATTATTTAAGAAATATAAATGTAGCCTATATGTCGAGCAGTAGAACAAGTAACTCAGTGCTTAAAATGGGAGTTCTCTTCCACTCAACTTATGGATGTTAGCCACAGATCTTCGTGTATTTAAGGCTCGTCCAGAGCTTCCCCCCCCCCCCCCCTCGAAGAAAGTTTACTGCCCCGAACAAAATGGAATTTATATATAAAATATATACTTTTAAAAGTGTCCGCTCCTCCGAAAAATTTTAGACCGACCCTCCACCCCCCCCCCCCCCCCAAAAAAAATTTCAAGTGCCCCCCCCCCCCCCCCCCGAGAGATCAGTGTTTCTTCCAGACTTTTTTCTCCGGTTCTCCGGGGTTGCAATTGAAATTTTCGGGGGGGGGGTGTGGAGGGCAACAATTTTCGGGGCGGACGGGCGGACACTGTCAAAAGTATATACTTCATATATAAATTCCATTTCGTTCGGGGGGGGGGGGGGGCGATAGACTTTCTTAGGAGAAGAGATGCCCGAAAAAAACTCTGCGGGAGATAGAAGTCTGGAAGAAATACCGGGCTCGTCACGCCAGCTGTTGGTGATCTGTCAATGAAATCATCTCAACATCATATTTTCCCTTTTGCCCAAAACACATGGGATTTGTTTTGTGTTAGTTTGTTTTCCTGCGGTGTGCCCTCATATCTGCCGTGGTCTTTCTTGTTTTCTGTTTTCCTTTATGCGTTTAGTTAAGCGTCATTCCTGTGATATCATCAGAACTCATTATTAAAACAGCTTCCGATTTCGTTTCTCCTAGTAATCTATCATTGATGATGGTTTTGGGCCAGTCGGTGCCTTTTATTCTTTGCAGATCACACATAGTTTGGACAGAATCTTGTGTTCTGCTGATAGCTGTTGCTACTTTTCAGCATTACTTGCTATGAAGTGGGACGCCAAGGAACATTACTTTAATGTTGACTTCTGTATCACAGCTTTCATTGACAATGACATCCGTCATTTTTTGGAGAACTGCTTCTCTTTCACCTGTTTTAAAACTTTTATTGCTTCCTGTTTTTACAAATATATATATATATATATATATATATATATATATATATATATATATATATATATATATATATATATATATATATATATATACATAGATGGATAGATAGATAGATAGATAGATAGATAGATAGATAGATAGATAGATAGATAGATAGATAGATAGATAGATAGATAGATAGATAGATAGATAGATAGATAGATAGATAGATAGATAGATAGATAGATAGATAATGTGTGTGTCAGGAGTCCTCAAATTTTTAGCCCTGTGCTCCACATAAACGTACGAATTACTTAACTCCTGTCAACAACCTACACCATACAATTTGACAAGCCAGAGTTTAATTAGAAACAGATTCATTCATTAAAAAAAACAACACTAAAAATAAAATAAAAGACAGGTGATATTAATTTTGAGACACAGAACAAATTTTGAGACACTACAATGTATTTAAGTAAACATAATGCAAACAATTTAGTCAAAGTTATTGAAATTTATTAAGCATTAAGTATGTAGACAACATAGGAAAACATTTATTTGATTACATTATTATAACATGGTATCACATTATCATCCAAGATACTCCAGGCTGGCTTTTGCTTTTTCCATCTCATGCAAGAAGGAATAGAACTGTGGTAACGTCAATTCTGGAGGGGAAAATTGTTTTATTTTACAGACTGAAATACGAATTATGTACGAACAATATCTCATAGTGGTTAAACAAAATAATAATCTTAATTGAATTACAGTGGTTTAGATAGAATTACTTTAACTGAAAAATAAAAGGTAAAATTCCTATTTCAAACATAAGATACATAGGTTGTATCTGGACCTGAAGTTTATACCCAGAGGCATAACAAGAGGGGTGCAGGCCACACCAAGTGACACCATTTGGGAGGGGGTGACCAGTTAGGTACCCATGAGAGCTGGGTGGACTCAGACACACCCTGCAGTCCCAAATCCAGACCCAAATCTGAACTTGAAACATTTGGAATAGTAGCTGAAGCTCTACCATTCAACAACTAACTACCATTGAACTAACATTTTTTTAAAATTCACTTACCTAAGAACACATTTTTGGTACCATTTCCAGTGTTTATCACAAGCTTCAACTAAACAGAGATTAGAATATATTGGCTTAGATAAAAATAAATCCTAAAATAATGCATGTAGGTCTACGTTGTTATAAAGAAAATAAGTTCCTTACATATTTTTTTAATATTAAATAAATATTCAAAGTCTACAAAGACAAAACCTTTTTCCAAAAGAAATGTGGTTTAAAAATAAATAAGATTAATATATTAATATATTTCAAAAGGCTTCCTTCTAATCAGATTATTAAAGAAAAAAGTTAGCTCTACTTTATTCTTTATAAATGACATTCGGCCTATATCTTGGTTTTTTGTATGATTCAATTGAAGACTGGCACAGGAAGGAAATATGGTTGCCAGATAAACTTTATATTTGTAAATGGAAAGACATTAAATATCCCAACTTTCATTTTCCCTTACCTGCAAAAATGTGTTTCCTACTTTATCCAACTCACTACTGGATGCTGTGACTAAACAAATAAATTTGTATCACATAACAAATTCAACATTTACTTTGGAGTTAATTAATTTTATTATGGATATGCTCAGTGCTTCATTTCTGTGCAGCAGGTGGGATCAGTATTAAAGACAGATGAGAATAATTAACATATTATTCTGGTAATCATATTTGTAATACTTAATAAGCCACAATTATAATAATTGTATTAGAATAAATTTATACTTTTGCTAATTCTGCATATTTTGTCAATGCTAGCTAATGGTTTAGAAAAATAATTGTCTAAGGTTAAAGATTAAATTTATCTCATTAAGAAATTAGTTTGTACAACATTACTTTAAAAATGTAGTAAACCAACCTCCAAATTTCCACTCTATGTCCACTAATTGATTGACCAGTAAAGTTTGTCCCAGAGCACCTCTTGACAAAGCGACTAGATTTGCCTCAAAATGGCTGGCCACTTCTTTCGCTTTTTCCACAGACAGTCCTACATAAATAAGAATGAGTTACTTTTATGAGTCATCTGCCTATACAAAATATAGTTGTACGAATGTCTAGAAATGTTGAAATATAGAAATACAATACAATTTTGTTCCCTAATTGTGTTACAGTTTTTAATTCAAATGATAGACTTGCCTAAAGTTTGTAGATCCTCCTGGAGTTGCCCAGAACTTAAGCTTTTTTTTAGAGCAGCTGTAGAGCATATACACAACACAGATATTAAAGTTTATTTTTTATTGCTATTTCGTTCTTTATAAAATTAAGTACATTACTGTAGGCATATATATATATAAAAATCATGTAAACTGACAATGGAAAAATTGTAACTAAAAAAAACTATTTTACCTATAAACTTTTAAAATCTACTGCTCTTATACTTACAATTAGGTAAAGAGACCAAACTTTTGAAGACATTTCTTAAAGGGCCAACACTAATACTATTTTCTTGTGCAAATTCTTCCAGCTGTGACATCAACCTGGCAGACTAAAATAAATGTATGAATAAATGTTAGTTTGTGTTATAAAATTTCTATTTAAAACCGTTACTATTTTATGTAAAATGTTTCAAAAAGAAAATTATGTTGCGGAACATGATATGATGATAGTTACCTTGCTGGGTTCTAAAAGAAACTGGAATGCAAACTGTACAAGTTGATTGAAGGGCTGAAAGCATAATTAAGAAAACATTTCAAAGCTACTAACTATACTTGTTGGGTAGAGAATGCTACAACTATAGAATCTTCGGTGCACTGATATTTCTAAATTCTGATAATAGACATCCGGGGGCATTAGGTTACAGGTAGTTAACTAAATACAAATAATATGACTTGTTCATGCCAAAGCTAACCTTATCTCAATATCTATTATCCCTAATTCTGAACTAAAATAATATTATTATGATTAGGCCTTAGGACGCCTTAGTTAGGCCTACTGTGATAACGCAAGGTTACGTCAAGGATAGGTCAAGCAGAAAGAGGTTAGCAGAAACAGATTATAGCTAGTTGGTCAGAGAGACCAATGAAAGTACAGGAGCTGACCGATCACGGTCAGTTAGGTAGAGACGGTCGGACATATGTAGAGCTAGATACAGATAGATAGTAGTAGCAGTGGTAGTAGTAGTAGTAGTACAGTGTAGATTAGTAGATAGGAAGTTGATTGTGTAAATTTTAATAAAGAACATTATATTTTGACTTGGACTGTGTGTTGGATCTTCTCACATTTGGTGGTTGCTGTTTTCCCCACCCTCACAACTGGCGAGAACATCCATCCATTTATGATAATTTATCCCCTCACACCTTCACCTACAGCCTACATGTATTTAATAATTATTTTATTACTAAGTACACCTATTTTAAGAGTACTGTCAGACATAGGTAGATCTAGTAGTACTCCATAATTAATTACTCTTTTCTTAAATAACTTTTCTCTACACTCTACTAATAACTAAACTGAACTCTATCAACTAGAGGTCTAGATCTATCAATCTTTCTTCAGTCTTACTTCTTACTTGCCAAACTTGCCACACCCCCTTTTGCCAAAAGGGCCTTTTGAGAGTTAGCATTTAAGTAAACAGTTCATATGATCTCAGACAACTATAATAAACACCTTTCATACACAGTTCAATAATACCTCATTCTGAAATTTATTCAACGCTTGAAAGTCACTAAACATTGAATCTGGTGGAGTTTCTTTTGTAAAGTTGAACGTAGCTGCCATCTTGTTTGTTTGGGTTATCAGATAGGTTGCTCTAAGAGTAGAAATAATGAGTAATAACAGAAAAACAATCGTAAACTGTCACTGAAAAATAAATTGTCAAAACAATAATTTGAAAAACGTGAAATTTAATTTTCAAAAGTGATAGATTAAACTTCGGGACTGTTTTTAGTACTTCTCTAATACACATAATTGAAATTGGCCTGAATATTTTAGGCTTTGCTATTTCAAAGTTTTTATTTATCATTTTATGTATCGTGTGCATTTTATTAAACACAAATTATGTACTTGTGCCCAAACATATAACGTCTGTCATATATAATATACATTATATATGATATACAGTTCAATTTGTTCTGTAACAATGCTTGTATGTCGAATTGCTTGTATCTCAAAGCGAATTTTTTCCCTTGAAATTATATGAAATTTCATTAAACTGTTCCAGCCCCCTAAATCCCCCCCCCCCCCTCACCCAGTTGTTTTTGTTACGTATTTTTAATAAGAAAAAACGTACTTGTAAATAATAAAAACAATAAAAGAAATACTGGATTTATAAAAGCTATAATCTTTGGATATCCACCAAGTTTATTTTACGGACAATGCTGGAGGTGGTATAGGTTTAAGGAGATGTGCAGAGGAGTTTCTTTGTTCAAATTACTCACTACACTGTTAAAATGCTCAATCCTTCTGTCTTTCTAATTCACTTACTTGTTTCCCTCCTATACTTCATCCTTAAAGTAAATGGAACTTAACTAAAATTCACTGAAAATAGTTGAACTTAAATGTTACTTAATAATTTATTATTTTCTCTTAATTTTCATCTCTGCCTTTCTACACTCGTCAATGTCTTTTTCACCACACTTTCCGAACTTTCACCCTGTTAAGAAAGTTTGTATCTTTTTCCCCTTTCAGAACGTCGCAGCAATGGGTTAGACAAGTGTCACTAAACAGCTGTGATGCACAATCAGCAAAAATTGTGCATGGTGGTTCATTATCCATGAACAATGGAACACACAGATCTGAATACTCAGTTAAAATATGCTCATAACTAAAAGCAAAAAATAGCATTAAAGAAGACATTGCTTAACACAATTTGAATGAAAATAGTATGGTGCCACAGGTTTCTGTATCTATATCATATCTAGAGTTTCCTGGTGTAATTCCAACCAGCTCTTGTAGTTATCCAAATGTGGGAAAGTAAAACCTTAGTATTGACATAAGTATTTCATATTCAAATGTAAACAGACCAAATCTGCTTCATCTGCCATATAGATTGTCTGGTACCATAAGGTACTGCACTTTCTTTTTAAATGTTAATTTTTAATCAAATAAAACTGAAGAATTTTATAATTTACTTATTAAGGTCATCATCCCATATGTGGGACCAATATCTCTTTCAGTATGAAAACAAATTCACCAAATAAAACATGATAACAATTTTTTAAATACATTTTGTTTAATAAATCGATTTTTCAAATATATATTCTTAAATTGCAGAAAAACATACACTAAAAACTGACTTAGCATAAAAGTTTACATGTCACTGTGGTGAAAATTCAACAAATGGAACAATACTACATGGGCAAGTCTACCAAATACTGCATTGGTTAAGTTAATTAAAGTAATCTAATTTGTAACCAGTTACATTATTTGAGATAAATTCCTTAAAAAAATCTCTAATGACACAACAGGTCAGACACTGATACAACTAACTAAGGGATTTCTTGACACTCTAAGATCCACTTACAGATTTTTGCATCTTAAGACTCAAATTCACATCATAACAGCTTTTAATAGCATACATACAAACTGGATTTAAGGCATTAGTACACAGATGAAATTCTTTTATTAATGAGCAGTTAAATAAATCTTGCTTTCTCATCATTTTGAAAAAATAAAAAAAATGCCTTTCCATGAATAAAATGTGTGAGAATCAACATTTCTGCATAAAATATACAAACAAATATAGCCTTGTTACATTATTTTATATATATATATATATATATATATATATATATATATATATATATATATATATATATATATATATATATATATATATATATAAAACCAACAAACAAAATACAGCTGATTAAGATTTATACATACACTTTTTAACAGTAAAAAATAACAATCTGGCCCTTATTAACCTTTTACTCAAGATCCCCCAACCTAGTATTTTATGCATGGATTAAATAGTTTGTGCTTTAAAAAACAATAACTGTTTTCCTTTCCCCAATGCTGTGCGATGCATTGAAATCCACCACCAGTTGTTCTCCAAGATAAAAGCAGGAAAGCTGTATATATAGGGGAATCAATTTGACTGCAAGCTAATATCTGGACAATGATAAGATCAATGCCCTTCATATTTAGGTTTCCTTTTTTCTTTGAAAGCAACCAGACCTTCAATTCTATCTTTCGTTGGAATCACCTGAGAATTCAAATTCCAAAATATTGACATTAGAGATGGATTGTTTACTTAGAGGAATCAACAAAAAATTTCTTTAATAAAAGTATTTGTTTTTTAAGTTTCAAATTTTTGTTTAAAATTAGTAGATCTAAATATTACCTGAGCATAGTAGGCTTCTTCATATCTCATCCCTGCATCTATTTCCACCTGGTTTTTAAATATATATATATATATATATATATATATATACATATATATATATATATATATATATATATATATATATATATATATATATATATATATATATATATATATATATATTACAGTTTTGTATCACAAATATTCAATTTAAATTTTAGAAGTGATGTTTAATTAAATGTTTGAAAGTTAAAAGGAAAATGTTAACAGCACAGGTCATGACAAATATTTCTGGATTACAAAGAAAAATTTCATAATTTAAAATATTTTTTGAACTAAATGGAAAGTATAACACTGCTATTGGAATATGTGTCATATTAAATATAGTTTTTTTAACTATTCAGAAAGCTTAGTCTTTTTACTGGCCAATATAAAAATTTTATGGAATTACTACTTCAGACATATAGTTTTCAGCATTTCTCAAATTGGCAAATTATAATAAATGGAAAGAATATATCATTCATAGTATAATAGCAATGACAACTTTGAATATAAGACAACAACATAATACCATAATGTGTGACACAGACACAAATCATCAAAATGACATGTTAGGTTATTAATATCACTAAAGAAGGCCTACCTCAATCCCACGGTTTATTGCTGCCTTTGCCATCCTTAGAGCTATTGGTCCCTGTAAAATAATTTTTTTTATTCAACATGGACCAAAAGTAAAAAAAAAACTTACATATAATTTAAACTACTTTTACAATACATTACAATGTATTTTAATCTCATTTATAATTTAAATTGATCCCTGGTTACCTGAGGAAGAATCTCTTCAGCTAACTTGAGTGCTCTTTGATACGCCGCATCACCATTCGCATTCTGCTCAACGCAATGGTTCACAACACCATTTTCTTTAGCTTGCCACCCATCCAACCGTCGACTAGTAAATATGAGCTCCTTAGCCAGTGATGGACCAATCACACGAGGCAACCGTTGAGTTCCACCAGCTCCAGGAATAATAGCAAGGCTTGTCTCTATTAAACCCACCTTGGCATTACTTGCTGCAAGTTAACAGCATGGTTGTTAGATATCGCCACACAAACATATTACAGTTCTAAATAAAGCATTATCATTAAACTAACAATTTTTAAAAAATTCAGGGTTGTTATCTTTATTTGATGCTGTCTGTTTAAACGGAATTCATTAGACAAACACTATGAAGCTATAAAGAAGGAATACAATTTTCAACTTTTTAATTATCCAACTTTAAAAAGAAACCCATCAAGTTTGTTATCTTTCTTTGTTCAATCTTTATAAGGGGAATTCAACATACACCACACAAATTATACAAGCATTAGTATTAAATTAACAATTTTTTTTTATTATATTCATTTTTAAATTTAGGGTCATCAATATTTGTTTTTATAAGGTAACTTTATAAACAACAAAGATTGTCTTCAGAAACCCATTTGACTATATTCTAATTCAAAGTAGACCTAAAAAATGTGAGTCCTATTTCTAAAAAAAATGACCATATCTAATTTTATTCCTCATTATTTTTACCAGCTATTTGAGTAAAAGTAAAATTCCCTTTTCAAACCTGACGGTCTATAGGGCAAGAGAAGTAGAGTTCACTTGTTTCTGTGACCTCGGCATATGAAGTGTGGTCAGCACTATGCCCAGCTGCCTTTACTTTCCCTAAGGTGAGTTAGGTACCCATCAGAGTTGGGTGGACTCAGAGACGCTCTATTGACTTGATTCGAGCTCAAAACTTACGGGTTACTATTTTAGTATTGGGGGTATAATACATTGAAAGGCACAATAAAAAAAAAGATATAAAACATTTGAGGTTAAGGCCTACTATTATTATAGAGAAAACCTGTTACCAGCAATCCTCATATCGCAAGCTAAAGCCATCTCTAGGCCACCGCCAAGTGCAAAACCATCAATAGCTGCTATTGTAGGCATTGGTAAGTTGTGCAGCTCAGCAACACTGTAGCGTAACTTAGCAACAAACAAGCTCACTTCCTGGTTGGTCATCTGAAGCCTCTCTTTCAAGTCAGCTCCTACATAAAACATAATAAAATACATAAAAATGTGTTTACCATGTTTTATAACATGAGTGAGAACAGTAATTTGTATTTTCAATGCTAAGCAGATGATGGAAAATGAAAAAAAAAACAAAGTTTAAAACGATAACATTAAAAACACACTCTAAAATATTTAAATGTTCCATTACAAGCAATACAGAAATCTCAAATTAAACATTGAATTTGACAAAAGATTTACCTGCACAAAATACTCCTGGTACTTCACTTCGGATGATGACTGTTCTGATGCTATTTTGAAACTTGAGTTCTTGCATAGAATCAATAAACTGGAAATTATATATAAAATAAGAGAATAAGGAATTATGAAATTAAAAATTTCAAAATGAATAATTGTGCATTAAATAAAAATATTAATAAAAAAATATTTTAAAAAATAATTCAAGTATCAGGTGCATACATCTTAAAATGTATAGAATGATTACTTACCCTCTGCATGATATTTTTACCCATTGCATTTTTGTATCTGAATCTTCTCAATGATATAACTGCTATACCTGGAGATTTTAAGACAAAAAAAAGTGTGATATTTGTGGGATCTGAAGGTAGATACAAAGGGCAAAATTGTCAAATGGACAAAAAGGCCAAAAAAAGTCAATGGCTACATGGAAAAAAGGCCAATTGTACATAAGGTTTAGAAATCAATTGCTTGAAAGTGAAAGACAAAAGATAGGGGAAGACAGCAGACTGACAAAAGACACCCCTTCTAAATTATACTGATATCGTTGTTGAATACAAACCACAATTAACATAGGGGCCTACATCTCTCATTTAACACCATTTTTTAAAAATTTCTAATGGCACAGTGGTTATTACATTTCTTATAACACTGTTAATGCATTTAAAAAATAAGTAAATTTACATTTTAATTATCTTATTTTGATTGAATATTTTTATAATTTAACTTTCTCCTATGTAAAAAGCAACATGCTTTAATGAAGATAATATATATATATATATATATATATATATATATATATATATATATATATATATATATATATATATATATATATATATATATATATATATATATATATATATATTAATAATATTATACACACGCACATATGTATGTATATATATATTTATTTATGACATTATGAGTTGTTAAGTTCAATAAAGTAATTGTGTAAGGTTAGTATTAAGCTCAGATTAGGACATTGCTCAGAACTGTAATTAATTTACCTGTTAATGTAACAGAAATTTCTGACACCCTAAACCATTTCATGTGTATTTTGTATAATGACTAGGCTGGGCTGGGACATCATAATTAAATTGCTACACATATGCTGACAATGCTTTTTTTCTCAACAAGCTAAGTAATATTGAATGCCTAGCTTCTGAAGAAGATATTGACTGGTTATGAAAACTATCCTAATTGAATTTAATTGAATACAAGTCTGTAGTCTAAGCCAGGGCAATCGTAAAAATATTCAAAATCAATTTAGAGAAAACCTAGGGTTAGGGTTTCTTTTTCTTCTTTAATGCTCAGAGGACAAAATATTTCAGTATCATATCAGTAAAAGTAAATACATGCAAGCAATGTGTAAGGGTGGAGGTTAAGGATTGAATTATTTACTTTACTGTGACTTGACATACATAAAACTAATATTTGGAAAACTTACAAAAATATAAATGCATGGTTAAAAAAACAGCAACAATCAGACGATTGTTGCTGTTTTGTTTTTTTAATTTCAAGTCTAGATGTATGTTATAAAAAACTAATTGGCTAACTCAGTGTCCCAAATACTATGTAGGCTACAGAGATTATGGTATTAAAAACAGGCACATGATTAAAACCTGCCTCAAAAATTTACATTAAACTTTGATAACATGATCCAATGATACTACATGGCATCGGTTTAACATCGCAATACCTATTATCAATAAAATATGCCCACTAATGCCAATGGGGTAGTTTTTGAAGGTGGAAAGAATTAATTTTGGAAGGCACTGTAAAAACTAGATGAAAAACATTGATCAAGTTATATATTAAAAACGATAAGCCTACATTACCTAGTGTCAAGCATTTCACACATATCTACTTAGATTTAACTTATATTTAAGTAAGACTTACTATAAAGTTATAGGCATATTTCTTAGTATAACTACCAATGCTATCTATATATGTATATGTATCGAGTGATAAAGTAAGTCTGGGCCTATTATTGGAGATGATAACTAAAGGAGCTTGGTGTAAACCTAAACTTATTTAATTATTTGTAATAATTATGCCTATGATGTTAGTAAATAACAATAAACAAAACGCGCAGAAATTGACATGTAGGGATATGGCAGTGAATTTAGAATAACAGGAGAAGGCATTATCATTATTACTCATAATAATTTAGGATACAATTTTACATTTAATAATAATAAGTAAAAAAAAAAACAACAAACAAATAAGAACAAACAATAAGGATTTAAATCACAACATATTGCCAATATGTTCAAATAACCAGATAGACAGGGTAGCTGCTATTCCTTCTGATGTGGTACAACTAAACACATAGCTTAATAAACTTGTACAAGAATTTAAGGTTTTTCCATTGATTAGTCATACCAAAATATCAATAGGGCCTGATAAAGACCCTAGTCAGTAGTCTATTATTAAAGTAGTTTCTTTTTTGGACCTGACAATCCATAATCTATAGAGCAGCTGAAATAGGGTTTATCTGTTTCTTGATCACTGCACATGAAGTAATGGTGTGCTTAGCTCTCTGCCCTGCTATCTTTACTTTCCCTAACACGAGTCAGGTACTCATTGGAGATTGGTGGACGACACGATAAAAGGGTGCAACACCCTTTCATAGGACTTTTTAAAATTATATGCAGCCATACTTAGTGTAATTTTTTTTTCTGGCATATTTCTATTGCCCCCACCCTCTAGCATAGTTTAATTTTAATATCTTAAAAAACAACATAGATTTTCAGTCTGCATATTGACCTATATAGAAATGCACACTTCACTTTAATTTGACTTGATTAGATCTAATTATCCTTCATCAAATTTTGATTTTACTTTCATATTTATATTGTCCACACACTCTAGCACTAATGTGCCAAGATTTATAATTATATCTCAAATAGCAGCAGTGGTATGCAAGCCTTAAGCCCATCACAAAATTAAATCCGACTTTACAATGATATATAATAAATATATATAATTTAATAATATATTTTATATAGGCCTAGGCCTAACATGTTTAATGCATAACTTTAAAAATTCATATAAAAAAACTAATAGGTAGGCCTAGAATGATAGATTTTGTATTTTTATCAATAGGGTATATTATATGATTAATCTGTGCCTATTTTATCATTCTATGTTAATTAGGAAAAATTTCCCGATATGCCTATAGTATAGTATAGAGTGATAGATCTAGATAGATTCAATATTTTTTGATCAGGTGAATTACTGAATACAACTGGATAGTCTTAAATTTGGTTCTAACACTGGGGTGCATAGGCATAGGAAGTCTCTGAGTCTACTAGAATGTAGCCTAACTATAATTATTACAAATTAAGTAGACCTAATTTAATTAATAATTTCTAATTAATTACTAAGGGCCGCAACTTACTAAGCGCCCCCCCCCCCCCCCGATTGTAGGAAAAAAAGTCACAGGAAAAAAGTCACAAATGTATATTTGCATGGAATATGTTAATACTTTTACGTATTATGCTAATCAGTTTACGATTCATTAAATGTAATGTAATCTTCTTCTTCTTCTTCGTTCTTAATTATTAGTGTTGAAGGGGATCGAGCCTTATCTGCCAGTGGGTTTGGACTCGAGACTTTGTTCGAATTTATCAACCATGAGCTTGTTGCCGACTCGACCACGCCTCCAACACAATTAAGCGTTACGTGTCAACTGGTTATGCGCCATTGAGGCCATTGACTCCGATTTCAGCCTGCTTTTCTTTTTGGATTTGCTTCCATAGCCTTTGTCCAACCAAGAACAAACTACAAGGCAGCAGTTGTTTAATTTTGGAGTTGTCTCTCCTAGAAGAGAGGCTGTCCCCAGCTAACGAGCCTCATCTGCCAGAGGGTTTGGACTCGAGACTTTGTTCGAATTTATCAACCATGAGCTTGTTGCCGACTCGACCACGCCTCCAACACAATTAAGCGTTACGTGTCAACTGGTTATGCGCCATTGAGGCCATTGACTCCTATTTCAGCCTGCTTTTCTTTTTGGATTTGCTTCCATAGCCTTTGTCCAACCAAGAACAAACTACAAGGCAGCAGTTGTTTAATTTTGGAGTTGTCTCTCCTAGAAGAGAGGCTGTCCCCAGCTAACGAGCCTCATCTGCCAGAGGGTTCGAACTCGAGACTTTTCGGTTTAGAAACCATGAGCTTTACCGACTCGACCACGCCGACCCCTATGTAATGTAATCATTTTAGATATATATGAGTGGTTTTTATACATATAGTAATATTTATAACACACATAAAAGATTTTAGTATAAAGTTGTAGTTTTGTTTATGTAATTCTGTTTTGCAATATATTATACAGATTTTGATATAATCTTCAAACCTTCTCGGTTTCAAAAGTGTTTTTTGAACGCTTACTTTAAATTAGCGTGAAATGGCATAAAGGCAAAGTGAATGTGTCTTGCTGTCATCTACTAATCATAACAATAGTTCAACCACCTTTACTGACCACATTTAACACGCTCATTACATAATAAAGCCTAGGATCAAAAGAGAAAGCCGACACGGTACAAAGGCTGTGATTGACGCAAAAACGCAAACAACACACAATGTGAATATGGTTGGACAAAGCCGACAGAGAAGAAGCCAACCAAGCAAAGGCCTACGGCAAAACATATGCAAACACAATGATGAGCCCCTATTTATTATATAATAATTTTCCACTGTGTATTTAACTGAATACGTAACAAATGTTAATGTTGCTATGTTCATTATCTTACAGTATTTTAACTTGTTCTTGTTATAAACTACAATGCTTTTAAAGTTTACAAATATGCTACGGAAAAAAAATTACCAAGCACATTAATTAACACCCATAATTTTACAAATTATCAACAATTATTCAATTAAATCAAAATATTTCTTAGAATATTTTTGTGACTTTTTTTCTGTGACTTTATTTCTGTGACTTTTTTTCCTAGCAAAAACTGTGACTTTTTTTCTGTTTTTTTTTTCCTGTGACTTTTTTCCGTTCACCCCCCCCCCCCCCCCCCCCCCCCAATAGATCTAGAGACGAGATCTAGAATATAAATTAAATTTCTAAATCTAACCTTTCTGGTCTCCTTCAAGATAATTCAAGTGCAGCTCATCTTCGGGGCTTTGCTCCTTTTGACACAAAAATCGATAACAATACCTAATAGGTTGACTTTGTCGTAGAAGCTTGACCGCCGAAGGATGTAACAGAGCCATTTTGAACGAACTATGAACCTGCTCCGCGATATATCCTGTATTTGTTTTTATTTATCACTCGGTTTTTTTTTTTTTTTGTTTCGTTAAGTCCGGGTTAAATGTTAATTTTTAGTTGGCCTTTGAATCTGCCAACAGAAACAAAACGAACTTAGGCCTAGTTTTATATTTTTTCAAAAAATAAAAACGCTTGCAATAACAACATATAACATTAGCAAGCTTTTACTAGTTTTATGTCTACATTATAGATTTCTAGATTATAGATCTACCGTATGCACTAAAAAGAATACATTAAAATAATCTTCTTTTAAATGGAATGCACCACTATTTAAAGAACTACAATTAACAAAGAATGTGCATGAAGTATAATATAGCGACCAATAACCAGAGCCCGACTCCCTTATGTGTCCCCCCCCCTTTCCGTCTGACTTAACTTTTAATTGAGCAGTTGTTATTTTTCATTCAACCATGAGGCATGATAAGGCCTCTAATGTCATGGATCGCTTTACATATTACAATATAGGCTACAACTACAATCAGAGTTTCTTCCAGGCATCTCTTCGGGGGGGCGAAGCCCCCCCCCCCCCCGAAAATTTTTTACCGCCCCCCCGAACGAAATGAAATTTTTATAATTTATATAGAAAATATATACTTTTAACAGTGTCCGCCCCCCCGAAGAAAGTTTACCGCCCCCCCCCCCCGAAGATTTCAAGTGCCCCCCCGGAGAAAAAAGTCTGGAAGAAACACTGACTACAATTAATTATAACAACAAACAAAGACAAAAATTGCAAACGTATTCAATTACACATAATACACCACTAATGAATTTATCCAGATTTAACGTCAACTGCTATTTAAAATTGGTCACTGCGTAGAGTGTAAGAAGTGTAAGTACTGCATCGTCATCACAGCACATCTGATGGAGAATCAGGACGCAACTTTGTCCGGCTTTTGTTCCATAGAATATTTCGGCATTAAATAATATATTTTTACAGGCAAGCTGATGTTCAGTATGTTTTGATGTGTATGTAAGGGGAGTTCACCAGACCTGATCAAATCAAACATTATATTCCCTTTCAAACATCTAGTATCTATATCTATAACAGTCCTCCTACAGTTTTTTTTTTTTAATATACGAGCCGACCCGCGGCATATCATACGCCGCTATTTAGTTGTTTTATTTTCTACTTTTCAGTAATTCATAATTTGTGAATTCGACATTACCAATACTGCCACTGAAAATATCTGCTTTAAAACACTATCAGTAAGTCGTTAAGGACGATACTACCCCCACCCTCCTTTCCCCCAACCCCTACCCTATACACCCCCCCCCCCCCGTGAAAGCAGCCTCCTCTTAGTTACCTCCCCTAAGTTTAAAATCGTTTCAAACTAAATTATCTGCCCCTAATAGTCGTCACTAAACCCGGCTCTACGATTGTTATGTAAACATTTAGCGTGAACCACAGCTCACCTGACCATGTAGGGGTGGGGTGGTAGGGAACGCGCTTACAGCTTGTTTTCTGGCGTCTCCGAGAAGAGAATTATATAGATCTATATAGATAATTTATTTTAATAATTTATTTGGTAGTTTTACACAGTTTCAATGACATGAAAATCAATTGTATATATAGTAATTTCGGGTCGAAAAAAACAAACCAGATAGTCATGCCAATCATCACACTATTGAATGTGAGATAATCAGACATAGGCTCCTGGACCTATTTTATTTAGGATCTTTCTTTCTCTAGGAACATGTAGGCCTAAGCCTAAAAGCAGTTAGGTAAGTTGGAGCGCGTAAAAGCGCCTCCGTATGCGCTGGTGACGAAGAGTGTGTGCTAGACTAAGGCGATTTGCACCAATCCACGAGCTCCTTTTGCGCGCGCAGCATCACCTTACCACTAACGTATGTCCGTCAACTGTGCCCAGAAACATGGCTACGCTTTATGGATTCAAGTTTAATGACGGCGATGCATTTAATTCCCACTTAACTGATGATGATATAAACAAGCTGCAAAGAAGTAAAACAAATTTTAAAATGTTTTTGTTTAAATTTATTATGTCCATGACTACAAAACAACGAAAGTGACACAATGTCACAGTCTAACTTTATTTTATACTTTTGCAGTGGTTTCCACAAAAACATGGCGGCAATCGCGTTGCATTGACATGATCTGCTTGACACCACACTGCTTTTAAATTTCGCTCGTTACGCATTTTAGCAACGACAAGATTCAGATCTATCTTTTTTTTCTGATTTAATAAATAATGGCACTTTAACAACCCTATAGCAGTAGGCTTATCATGTCTAAATCTAGATTTCTAGATACATTTTCTTGTTTCCCAGATGTATCAGATGGCATAAAAATTCGTTTCCTTACGTAAATAACGTTGGAGCGCTTGACCTCCAGTCGAGATAAAGTGACATTTATCTTAGAACTTATTCTTAGCAGTTTGTAAATAGTAAATAGTTTTTTTTAAGTTAAAACTTTTAACTTAATCCCTTCTCAGACTATTTAGGCCTACTTAGTTTAGGGTTTTTAATTTGCAGAGGTAGTTCTAGATCTAGTTAGATCAAGAAATCTAGTTACGGATGATAATTAATTAATTATTGTAGGCCTACTAGACTAGAATCTACTAATAATAAACTAAAACAAAAAGTAACAGAAAGTGAAAGGCAAGAATCTCATCCAGTTTGGTGAGAGTTAGACACCCCCCCCCCCCCTTTCCCCCATCGTTATAATTTTAATATAATTTATAGGCCTAATAAAATTATAATTTTATTATAATTTATTGTTTAGGCCTTGGATGAATTTTTTAAAATGATGCCTATTTATTTAGGCTAAGTTAGTATTTTACTATTACTTTAGTTAGTTAGTATTACCATATTTAGCTTAAAGCGGTTGCGGCCAGTTAGGGCTATTAACTATTAATTAAATTAATGGACTAAGCCTAATTATTTGAATATTTGGCCAATATGAGAAATGATGGCTGAAGAGAAAGTGTTGATAACATTGATATGATTGATGATTGTCAATGATTAACATCAATGATGTGGAGTTATAAATGTAGGCGCACAAATTAAAATGTTTAAGAACACTTATGTAATTAAAAGTTACATTAGTCTGCCAATTTGAATTATCAATTAATTAAATTTGTTTTATTATAATGGCTATCATTCCAAACCTTAATTTTATTTTTATGCTTGTATCGCTTCTTTCATTATATCATGCTGTGAAGAAATTAAGTTACTTAACATCCATCTAATGTCTAATTTTAAATTTTTTTTGTTAAATAAACCTTAGTAAAAAAAATATTTTCAATTTCTTCTTTAGAGAATGCCCACATTTGGATTAGCCGGATTGTGAATCGCCTGATAGAAAAACACAAATTAAGTGAAAAAGAAGGTGTGCCGGTTGTTGAGATCAAAGAGGGAGGCTTTTCTGAATGCACAGAGATTGGCAAGATTGCCGCTACCACAACAACTGTCGAAGAAGAACCAGCAGCTGTTCCTGACTCTCCAGAACCACAAGAAGAGCTACCAACAGAGGATGAAGGTAGTAAGTTAGGTATGATTGGTTACTTGTTTATGATTAGTTTCTTTTGTGCTTTTTTTTTTTACAATTAGAAATTCTAAAACTTAATTAATTTGACGAAAATGTTGCTTTTATTTTCAAGAATGGTCAGATAAAATGATCAAGCTTTTAATACATACAAGAAGAGATTTGGCTGTCAAATTTTGTGGTTCTGGAATAAAGAAAAAAGATGCCTGGGAGTGTGTTGCTAAAGTTTTAAGAAAAGAAGGACAAAAAATAACTGGCAATGAATGTGATAAAAAATACAGGGATCTAAAACGAACGTACGTACTGCAAGTTTTTTCCTATACATCTATACATGTATAGTATATTTTTCGCAAGTATTAATGCTGTATTAAAGGGGTATTATTATGGGAAATCAATACTTTTTTTTTTTACTGAGAAAAAAGTTTTTTAGTGTAGGCAAATAATATGCTTCTTAAAAATTAATAAAAAAATTGAAACTATTGTTTCAAGTTAATCTCATTTTGATTAAAAAGAGAGTACAATAGTTGCTAAAACATTGTCTGTTTAATGTCTGGAATATTTCCAAACATATCTGGAATTTCACCCTCTGAGAGAGTACATATGGACAGTATTGGACAGTGAACCTATTTACCTGTAATGGACTTTCACATAGTTGCCCACTTCAACTAACCTTTTTGTGCTCATTAACCCTGTTGTACTAACTACACTACATGGTTTCCTGTCATTCATATGTCATTGTCAACAAACTCAACCATACCAAGATTACAGCACAAAAATAAAGCAATACACTAAACATTTATACAACATATATATTTTATAAGTCCATTTAAAAAATTAGTGATTTTAAGGCACTTTGAACGAGTATGATAACGTTTTGATAATATTTTCATTTAGATACCTTATGAACTTCCAAAAGATGAGAAAGCATGGGCCTATGGCTGTGAAATGGCCATATTATGAAGTTATGAGAGAAGCACTACAGGTAGATCCTACAATGGAACCCCGGGCCCTGAAAGCACCATGGGCATTAGCCTTTTCAGATGCAACAGATGATGAACTTGAGGTGAGTTTTTACACTAACAAAAGCCCAATAGTGACTCTGTAAAAAGTAGTTTTTTTTTTTTAATTGAATTTTTTAACCATTAAGTATTCACATATGCAGCACATATGTAAATAACTACAGCATACAAGTAATTTTGTTACATTTGGATTGAAATAGTTATGGAATGGGGGTTGGTGGTGTCATTCCTATTGCTTCTCTATGCAGAACTGATCACATCGTCTTACTTTTCTGTTGAACTTAAAAGCAAAGTCACTTACCCCCTGAAATTTCTACTAATAACCAAGTGGTAGTTAGAAACCATTAGATTTCAATACACAAGTTAAAAAAAATAATTGTTGTTATAAGATGGCATGAGTCATTTATTTAACAGTTTATGATAAACAAATATATACGTTTTGAATAAATTACCAGCATTTTAACAAACTATTTTATCAATTGAAAATCTAAAAGATAGTGCCTTTTTTTAAATAAAATAAAATTTGTGACAAAAATATGCATCCCTATTTTTTACGTCACTTTTTTGTGTTTTGTTTTACTAGTAATCCTATACATTTCTGAAGGTTTATCAATTTCTTTGCGTACTGGTAATTGTGGTTGTAATTAATTAATTAAATACTAAAATATTAAATTTATATTTCATGAAAATCTCTGTATCTTCCCTTAGTTTAGAAAATGATTTATAGGGGGGGGGAAATCAGGAGTGAATGATTAAAAAAAAATTAATGTGAAGAAGTTTCTGTTGGCCATTTATCGTTTGATAAATGAAAGACCTGCTGTCTATTCTTTTATTTTGTTCCTTATGACCTTAAACAAGAAATGTTTTTTTTTAATTCTCAGCCAGGCACATCCAAAAAGAGGAAGTTAATTGAAAGTTTGGAAGAGGAGGAGAAACATTTTAAAACTGCCATAGACCAACTGTTGGCCATAAGTCGGACAACGACTAAGCTCATACAGGAACACGTCAGAGCCAGTCGCACAGCCGAGGCTGTTAGACTAAGTATTGAAAAACAGAAGCTCGAGCTAATGAAAGCTCTGCTGCCCAAGGTGCAGGAGACTGTACAAGGTAAAAACTCCAAGGCTACTACAAAAGCTTACACTGTGTCATTGGTTCCGCAAACATCTAAAGAACAAACTGCTACGCCTGCAAAGCCATCAACCTGATTTTCTTGTGTTATCAACTTAATTGGATTATCATTGAAGTCATCACAAGTTGTTTTTACATGTTTTTAGGATGACAAAATACAACAGAAGAATAAAAATGTTGCCTCTGATGTTACTATATGACTTAATGTAACAAAAAAATAATTTTCTTTGTGGTTCATGGTTTGTGCCATAGTATAAAATAATGTATAAACTTATACATTTCAACTACAAAGACAAAATTCCCCAAAAAATGATTTGGAGTCAGTGTGATAAGAGGAGCTGTAAAATATAGAATACATAACTCATGCCAATCATTATGTTGTGAAACATGTCATGCCTCATCTGTAAAATGTTCACCTCTTCATGCCCATTGCTCTGCTTACTAAGTAGGCAAACCATGTCTTTCATTAAAGGACGGTTACATTATGATTTTATGTTTGGCATAGTTTGTATGCAGAAAAGAATTAAAATTTTAATGATAAAAAATGATAAATCATCTGTTATTTTTGTGTGTGTGTAAAATCAGGTTAAAGATCTTTACTGTTAGTGTATTTAGTTAAGATTCTTCAGCTGTTTCAGATTTTCAATAGGGTTTTATTAATATACTAATTCTCTATATACATTTATTTTAATGAATGACCATAATGCTATTTACAATAGCTTGTTTACAAACTCAATACTCCCATCATATGATGGAGAGTATTTTCTTATTGGATAAAATTCGCAGCATATTAGTACATTGTTTATTTACATTTGAGATTTGCTTATGTTGTTAAATTTTCCTTATTGTTCTGTTGATTGTCCAGTGTCTTTCCTTGTCAATCATTGCACCACAATCAGGTGAAAAGTAAATTTCCCTGTAATGTATTAACAATCCAGTTTTTATGTTATATCAAGTCAGCATTGCCAGTAAGGTTTCCTATATTTACAGTACTATTTACAAATTGTATCACATGCCAACATTACCATTAAAGTTTCCTGTAACAATAGTGCTCTGTATGTCAGCATTACCATTAATGGTTTCCTGCATCAGCAACAGTGTTTACAAGTTGTACCACATACCAGCATTGCCATTAAGTTTTGCTGTATCAACATTACCATTAAGCAACAGCAGTACTAATTTCATATTCTTTCACCTCAGCAGTGTTTTCACATTTTAGCACATCAGCATTATCATTGCCAGCAGTACTGTGTTGTTGTTTTTTTCATTTAGATTCTATCCGGTTATGAAGCGTCAGCAGTACTGCTCCAATAAGGTGTCACATAGGGATATTTCATCGATTCCTCTTTGACTGTACCTGTCATTAATTTTGTAGGCCTCTAATAGAAAATCTTCCGGTCTTAAGGGGGAATCATCCATACTCGGGGGAACCACATAAAAATTCTTTATTCTATTCCCATTCTGGTTGTTTGGGTGATGTTTTGGACTGTCGCAAGTTGTGCTTTTGATGGTTAGAGGAGTTGAGTCATGATTGGTTTGAAAACCATGTAGCTGTAGTTCTGGTGATTGACTTGTTTGGCTACTTTGCCAGGGTGTGTCATTCTGATGTGATACTAGGACGACTTTAGATGAACTTTTGATGGCTGAAATCAAGAATTAAGGTGTTTTTTTTAAATTATGAAAAGGTAAAACGTTTTATTGCGTAAGCAAAATTCTTTTGGTGGTGGAATAGGTTACGGATATTAAAAAACAGAAACAGCCTCAACTGCATTACTTATTATAAAATATAAGGGAAAAAGACCTGGCCTAGAAAGTGTAAAATCACAAACTACAATTAACAAACAAAACTTCCATCAACTTTCTCTTCCCCCCCCCCCCCACACCATTATTTGCTGTAGTTAAATACCCCATATAAACAATCAGCGATAGTATAACCATTTAGAAATCAATCTTCTGGGCCTAAGTTTAATCTCACCAATCTAAAAAAATGTACATTGCAAATGGGCATAAAACATTAATAATTGCTAATAACAATACTCCAACTATAATGTAAAAAAAACAGCACAATACCTGAACATCTTGTCCTATACTTTAAGACAAGGAACATTACTAGCAGAAACAGGATGGCACCAATCAGTGAACAAGTAATGATTGTGATTATGCTGTGGTTACTTGCAACATTGGGATCATGATACTGCCTGGCTGAAATTAAAGTTACAGCGAATAGAATATGCCAAGTGTCTCAGGTGTAGTTGATAATGCAAATATTTGTATTGGGGATGGTTGTTAGATTAATATTAGGCTAATGATAAGAGGAACTAGGAGAAGACTTTCAGGTTTGTGAATCAACTAAAACCTATACCGGTTTAAGGTTACATTTTTAAAAATGCTTAATTATACAGTATCAGTTGAAATGCTAACGTGGGGTGGGTAATATATGAAGCTTTTAAAAAAATAATTTACTATTTGATAAAGGTTTTAAAATTAGATACACTATTTTGTAAGTTTAAAAATATATATATATATATATATATATTTATATAACTCATGAAAATTTGTCAAAATGTTAAAGTTTATATGTATTGGGCCAGTCAAAGCAAAATTTTTGATTTACCTGCTGTTGCTGCATGGAGCAGCAGTTGTACTGATGAGGATGTTGTTGAGGTATTTTTTTGTTGTGGTTGTTTCCTGTTATGTGGATTATTTGTGTTGGATGGCTCCAGTGCTCTCCCTTTATGCTTATGTCCCTTGTCAAGTGGATTTATGTCATAGCCATTCTGAAGTTGTTTTGATGTGCTCTCCATATTGCCTTTGGGCTGCAGGGTAAATGTTTGGTTTGTGTCTTCTTCACATTGAGTCACTGAGTGACCTGAAACATTGATTGTATAGATTTAATTAAATGATATAAGTGTGGTAGTACTGAAGTGATAATCAAACAATGAAAAACATTGCTGGAATTGATAGTGGAAATATTTCTATAACCCTGTAATAATATTGTTGTTAACATGATTTAATCTTTTTCCTTGTAAAAAAATATTTAAAAACTTTCAAACCTATTGCACTATGTTGTAAAGCTACACACAAAGATTTGTAACATAACTTAAGTTTTTGTTTTAATTTGCAAAATTTTTTTTAAAAAAAGCATGCAGCATCTGTTTTTAGTATGAAACAAAATTACTGGTTTTTTTTAAGGTAAGATAATTTCATCTTTATTTATCTGTGGCAATAGGTTACAAATGTATTAGAAAACACAAATTTACCGTATCTTCCAAATATTGGAGTTTTTAAAACTTGGCTGTCATTTAGGTGCAGAGCATTTATCTGTAAGTAAAAAGGTTTATAAGATTAATATTCCTTTCTCGTTAACGTTAAGCGAACAATTTTAAAATAGGCTTAATTAATGTCAGTAAGCCAGAAGGGGGAAAGTACCGAACATTGTATTTGTTAAATTACATATACTAGGTTATGTCCCTTCTTTTGTACAACTCCATAGGAATAACGAGTCTAAAATGCTGTTTGTTAAAATCGATGTTGTTCATTTTTAGTTCAATCTATAATGCGTTCAACTAATCTACAAATTAAAATTTTAAAAAGTGAGTGAGACAGTAAGTCTTACCCATATGATGTAACCTTTTTCATTTGAAATGTTGATGAAGTATGTTCTCTTTGAGATCTGAGGAACAAAAAGCATTAATCTACTTGTTTTAGAGTGAACCAGTAGGATAACTATTAATTTTGTATCTGTGTGGTGTGAGGTTAACCATTGGCGTTACTAGGTAGGGTGTTACCTGGTCGGGCTCACAACCTTAGTAGGGGGTCATCTATAAATGACGTCACACTCGTAGGGGGGAGGGGGGGTCCGTAATTTTGTGACGATGTGTGGGGAGGGGGAGGGGGGGGTGTTCAGATGTTGCGACGTCACACTTTTGCATTATAAAAAAGCAATGTTAGAAAACGAATTTTAGACGTTATTTCGCGTTTTAGATAACTGTTTTAATAAATTGTAATAGTTTAGACAAGATTTTAGAATTTTTTTTAGAAAAATATGGATGTTTAAAAAAAATTCAACTGCAATTTTGAGGGGGTTCGTAGGTTGAGGTGTGACTTCATTTTAGGGGGGGGGGTCTGGCTTTTTGTGACGTCGTGTGACGGAGGGGAGGGGGAGGTAAAAATCGTCAAAAATGCGTGACGTCATTTATGGATGACCCCTAGCATCTGAATAGTTTGTCAGGTAGAATATGTACCCATATGCAGATATTATTCATTATTGAAGGAATGGTTTATTATATAGTTATAGGGCTTTGGGCTAAATAATTCAAGGCTTTTAAAATCTTGTATAGTTTAGGCTTATTTAATAAAATGAGTATGGATTTTCTTTTTTTTTTCAACAGTAACAAAAGAAAAATTCGTTAATCAGATGTCGCCTATGCAGTTCGTCTGTGATGTTGGGCAAGTTGTGTGACCCTCTAATGTAAAACACATTAGGAATGATAAAGAAGAAGTCAATGTCTGCACGATTATGATTTAGTTTTAGCGGTCGTCCATAAATGACGTCACACTCGGAAGGGGGGGGGGGGGGGGTCCGTAATTTTGTGACGGTGTGTGTCGAGGGGGAGGGGGGTTCAGATGGTGTGACGTCACTTTTTTTGCATTATAAAAAGGCTGAGTTAAAAAAACGAGTTTTAGCCGTTATTTTGCGTTTTAGAAAACGGTTTTAATAAATTGTAATAGGAATTGATCAAAATACTCTTTGTTGACAGAGTTCTGACAAGATTTTGGAAAAATATCGATGTTTTAAGAAAAATTCGACAGCAATTTTGAGGTAGGTTGTAGGGTGGTTTGATGTCATTTTAGGGGGGGGGGGTCTGGCTTTTTGTGACGGCGTGTGACGGAGGGGAGGGGGTGAGGTAAAAATCGGGGAAAAAAGCGTAACGTCATTTTTGGATGACCCCTTACCTCTTTATCGAGGATTAAATACTGCTCATTCAAGTCTGAACGTTGACTTGACTCCCCTTGTTGATGTTGTGAGAGTGATCTCCCTTTGATCGTGCAGTCACCCAACCTAGCGCTGTAGACGATAGGGTGGACAAAAGCGTAGGAAGGCGGTGTGAAGCTGACCTGGGCTGACTCATGCAGGAAGTTGACCACGATGACCGGAAGTGTCCACGCTGTCAATGGATAGAAATAAGTTGGGGAGGGATATTTATTTTAATTTATTATTTCGTTACTGTAATGCTATCATTATCAAACCCCCCACATGCGTACCTTTGCGTGTAAGTTCCGTAACTTGAGCGACTTGGACCAGAAGTCTCGATTGTTTGGAAGGCCCAGTGGTCTCAAGATTCTCCGCTGGGGCCACCAAGTCCAATACATATGACGTCACGGTACCAATCACCGGAAGTACAACAGTTCGGATCCATTGGAGGCCCTGCGAGAATGTAACTGTTACATGTTACTGTTAAAATATGTTGGTTCTTGTGACGGTATGTATTATTCTTGTTTCTTGAAAAGCTTAAAAAAACAATTATTGCAAATCGTCTATTTGCTTTGTTTAATTATGAGTTGTATATGTATAGGGGTCGGCGAAATCGGGTCGATAAAGCTCGTGGCTGCTAAACACCGAAGATGAGGCTCGATAACTGGGGACAGTAACCTATCATTATCAAGGAGAGAAAACTCCAAAACAAAACAACTGCTGACATGTAGATCGTTCTTGGTTGGACAAAGGCTATGGAAGCAAAAAAAAAAAAAAAAGAAAAGCAGGCTGAAATCGGAGTCAACGGCCTATAATGCACATAACAAGTTGTCGCGTATTACTTGTGTTGGAGGATATCACGTCCAACATTACAATTAAGAAAGAAGAAGAACCTATGTATATAATATTTTTAGATAGCGTGTCTTCTATAAGTGCCGTCATGAGGATTTTGCAACATAGATACATGCACCTTTTTTTTTTTTTTAAATTCGGACGTTTTAAAAATTAAGCCGCAACACCACTTCTCCCAGTAACGCCTTATTAGCGGAAGTTTAGTTTTACTTATCCGTTTACTTTTTGGTTGTGTCTTTTTGTATTGCTTGATTTTTTAGTATCTAGACTAGCAAGCGACGTCTAGCGGTAGAACACGCGCTTTCTTCCTTGAAAGTCTTAAGTTCGGAAACAGTTGATGTATAGTTTACATGTCTAGCAGCCGCTAACGTGGGTGAGGGAAATGCTCAAATCATGACTGATTCGACTCTGGCAGGCTAATGAGCACAATTTGATCCGGTAATGACCTTAGCCTATAGTATAATATTGTAAATATCGGCGGGATGAAGATTTTATGTAGTGCGTTAAGTAGATAGTTGTATATCTGAAATATTTATCTGAGCAGAATTAAAGAGGCTTAAAAGGAACTTTTTCTCTCCTCAACTCAATAGTTTACAATCAAAATAGTCTGACAAATCTCTTTAAAAAAATAATGATCATTAGAATTAGATCTAGCTAAAGTGTCCGGTAAGCGCTTACAACAACTATGATTAAGATTGATGTATGCCAATAAAAGCAGAATATACAGATTTAAAAAAATTAGGGAATAAAATAACGTCTGCCTTACTTACTTGCCCAGGTTGAAGAGTTTCATGCACTGCGCATGTCACATGACTTCGGAGATTGCTCCAATCACCAACAGGTGTACTGCGCACGCAGATTTTTTCTGAGGAATCTGAAGTCATCGGAAAACATTGTATTATTGCTTTGACTTTACCTTTACTTCATAGTACATATTTAAAAAAGATGAATCTCATATACGCCTTTCCCACAACACCCTCGCGTTATTTCTAGTGAGAGGGGGGGATTACTTTTAAATCCTAAAGGTATATATATATATATATATATATATATATATATATATATATATATATATATATATATATATATATATATATATATATATATAGATATAGATATATATATATATATATATATATATATATATATATATATATATATATATATATATATATATATATATAGATATAGATATAGATATATAGATATATGTTGCCGGTATGCTTAACACCCCTAGAAAGAATCCTCCGGGCCCCCCATGCCCCCCCCCCCCCTTGGAACATGTTCCTTAAGACAACATCTCTAACTGTCCTTTCCTTCCGTCTTACCCTGAGTCCACTGCACACACATAAACCTCACATATCCCTGTGTTCGGTCCGTGTTGCTGAGTAAAACGGTGACGTTGATGTACGTGGTGGGCGGTATCACTGGATCTGTGTGTTTTACTTGGTCAAGCGCGTCAACGAATCTGAAAGCTGGACAGGAATAGATTAAGGCGAGACTGCGGTCATTGGCAAACCTGCATCGTCGAATAGAAAATATGCTGGACGCCTATCCGTAACCATAGCATGATAGCATTAGCCATAGTTATCAATCAAGTAAGTACGCAGATTCTAAATCACTCTATAAGTATATACCTAACCAAAATAATTCATCGGTCTCAAATTCATACAATAATAACTGTAAGTATAACCATAATCTAAAGTTAAAACCAAAATGCTATTTTGTAGTTAATCAACTAAAACCGAAGACAACACTATATTCTAAGTTTTACATTTTATTACATTGATGAAGTTTACGAAACGTTTTTACCTGTGGTACGCCTTTCTTTAGAAAACCCCCTCACCTGGTAATAAAATAGAAACGATACCGTATTTTGATGAATTGATTTATTTTATAAATTTAGATATGATATTGTTGGATTGTTCAATTTTTCGCTTTAGTTTTATTTTTTTTAATCAATCAAAAAAGAACCGTGTTATATCAGTGCTTGTTCAGAGATTGTAATAGAGTTGAAGTATATTATGCAAGATTGTGTTTATTAATTGTGAGTGTGTGAGTAGATATTTATGTATTAGTTCGTGTTTGTATGTGTGTTTTTGTTGCGTGCTTTTGTGTGCTTGTGTGTCATTGTGTTTGTAGTCGTGCATTTGTGTGCGTGTTTGTGTTTACGAATGTGTGTGTTTGTGGTTGTTTGAAGTGCGGGTATTTGTGTATGTGTATGTTTTTGTGCGCGTATGTGTGTCATTGATTGACGTGCCAAGACTTACGCCATCTACACATGAACCACCAAAAGTTCCACAGCAGACATCCAGCGCCGACAACACGGTGAAGCAGGTGAACTCAAGTCGGAAGAACATCACCGGCTGACAGGTGTACAAACAGGTGTACAGCCAGGTGTTCAAACAGGTTGTAAGCCAGGTGTACAGCTAGGTGTACAAACAGGTTGTAAGCCAGGTGTACAGCCAGGTGTTCAAACAGGTGTACAAGCAGGTGTAGAGCCAGGTGTACGCACAGGTGTACAAACAGGTGTACATACAATCAATACAGGTGTCCAGACCACTCCCTGTTGCCCCGGAAAAGGACACAAACCAGCCGTCTCCACTGTGAAAATGTTGCATCAATGTTCATTTACTAATTCAACTAATTGCAATTGTAATTTGAAAAAAAGGTTATACTTTTCTTGTTTAGTCCCTCACCTTTATACCAAAGCATAAAAGTAAAGACTTTCATAGTTGTTAAAGTTAATATCCGTGGGATTAATGATTAAAGGTACCAAAATCGCCGCCTATCCCGACTAAAAGCTTTTGGGTTTTTATATAAAAGTAAATTATATTTTTTTTAAATAATTTAATGATTAATAATGATTAATAGGGCACAATAGAATCTACAACCAAGTAAGTCAGTAATTCAGATCCCGGGTTCGAATCTGTGAGACGTCCACTCAGCTCTGATAGGTACCTAACTCACGTTAGGGAAAACAAAGGCGACTGGGCACAGTGCTGACCACACTATCCTTTTTAGTGCCGAGGTCGTTGTAATAGAATGACGAACTCTACTTCATCTGCCGCATATACTTTGGGCATGAAAGAGGAAAAGATGATATGAATGATCTATAAGAAATAACTCATATATATTTTAAGATAATATGCGAATTCCGCGTAACTTCATGCGTATCAAAATTAAAAGTGTATGATTTGTAATAAGTAGGTATTTTTAAAACATTGCTTTTTGTATGAATAAAAGTCAAATTAGAAGTCATTCTGGTATCTGGTGGTAATAAAATGTAAAATGTGTGCTTGATTTCACTTATCGAAGGCTTAAAAGTGACCGACACAGAGTTTTTTTAAGAATTGGACTCGTGTTAAAGAAAAATGAAAATGTGTCTTTACATCAGTGCTGATAATCAAGCGATATCTTAAAGTTTTCAATTCTTTGACACGCCACACCCGCCCCCCCCCCCCCCCCTCTCCACCATGTGGTAATATAAGATAACCCGAATCTACTCTATTTACCATAATGCTCTACGAATCGACCTGTTTCGCTAAAGCTTGCTATTTGTTTCAAATATTTGTTTCAATATTTCTTTATGTAGTTCGATACTGGTATATATATATAACTGGTTTTATTTTTTTCTTCATGTAATTCGAAATTTGATTTGATTTTGTTTTATATAGAGGAAAGTAATTACAAAAAGCCAGCATTATATAAATTATTTTATTAATTATTGTAATGTGGTGTTATCCAGGCAGTCATTCAATACCTCGTGTTATTGATTTAAGAGTATTAAACAGACAATAATTTTATTGTATAAGACAATATTTAATTAAATTCAAGCTCTAGAAAGGAGTTTTGGGGAGTGGGGGCTTATTATATTCTACTTCACTTATAAATTGTTTTGTTTATTTTTAAAGCTAACACATTTATCAACGTATATCTGTGTAATCTATGATTGTTACAGATAAAGGACATCATACACACATAAGCCTTTATATGTGTTGAGTTGTGTGTGAGGTCCTACACATCTTTGTACTGGGGCCTTGTTAGTCTGTCATTCAGCTTTGGATGTAGGTCAAGATTTCACCAATGTCTGATTTAAGACTTTTTTGGCGGGGGAAAAAGTTCACGAAAGAAATCTCGTCAAATTTATTTTCGGCATTTAAAATAATGCTAATCCAATTTTATTATTAACCAATTTTTTTAATAAAAAAAAAAAGCTTTTCTGCCGCTAAATCATATTTCTGTAATACTGTTTTTCTTAATTAATGATTAATTAATGATTAGTAGGCTATGTGGAATTTCATCAGAAACTAAAATCTGCAGAGATTGAAGACCCCGGGGACGGCATGGTCGTATGATAGATCTTATGACTTCTAACCTGAAGGGATCACGTCAATAGGACGTCCCTGAGTCCACCTAGATCAGATGGGTACCTGACTCACGTTAGGGAAACAAAGGCGGCTGGGCATAGAGCTGACCACATTATATCCTTGCATGCCGAGGTCACTGAAACAGATAAAGAAGAAAACCTAGTACCTGACCTCCATAAGATGACCTGCACAGTTTAGATGATCACTTACCTGAAGGTATACCAACTCCACACCTGAGCTCTATAGAATGATTTGCAGAGTTTAAATCATCACTCACCATCAGCTATAAGGCACTCTCCTGGTCACGTGACAACCGTCCACACAAGCAACCTTATGTGCGCACCTACAATCTCTAGTCACCCACAATCTCTAGTCACCTACAATCTCTAGTCACCCACAATCTCTAGTCACCCACAATCTCTAGTCACCCACAATCTCTAGTCACCCACAATCTCTAGTCACCTACAATCTCTAGTCACCCACAATCTCTAGTCACCCACAATCTCTAGTCACCTACAATCTCTAGTCACCCACAATCTCTAGTCACCTACAATCTCTAGTCACCTACAATCCGTGGCTTTGTTAAGATTCAATATCCACATAAATCGAATCAAATCTTTTTCAATGTTCAAGATAAAAACCAATATCCACAGAAAATTCTTCATTAAATCCAGTATACATGTTTTAGATATTCAATATCCGTGAAAAGATTCCACTATCCGTTGACACGTTCCAGAAACAATCTAGTATGGCCTCGTTCTATCCAGTCAATCCACTATCCATGGATAAAATTTTTTTATATCCCGTGCGGTGAAGAAAGGACACAAGACACATTCGAATCAACACACAGCTAGGTGTGTTTCGATTCGAATCAACACAGAGCTATGTGTGTTTCAATTCGTATTAACACAGAGCTAGGTGTGTTTCAATGTTGCTTAATGTTGTGGTGGCGCGACTTGTGTTGTTTCAGCACTGTTGGTGATAGCCAAACTGTGGGATGGTCTGCTACTGATAAGCCGGACTCGATTGCAATGTGTCATTGTAATTGCTGACAATAGTTTTATAAACTAAAGTCCTATAAGTTTTTACAAATGTTATAAACAATACTCCTATAAGTTGTATCGTATTAAATATTTTTTCATAGACTCGGGTTAACTGATTTAAGATGTTATTTGTGAAATACTTTTTTAAAATTAAACAATTTGTCTTAACACCAGGGAGCGCTGGTGATATCTTGATGTAAAATGGCGGCGCTGTAATCTTGTAACAGTTGTTATTTATTCCCCTTTAAGCTGTTTGTATGGGGGGGGGGGTGTATTCCGATGAACGATATTCATAGATAAGTATCGCCACCAACAGCGATTCAGTAACTCTTCACAAAACACAACTGCAGCTCTAATCCAACATTTAACATTAAACCTAAGTATTAACCTAACTCAGAGGCATAGCGAGGGGGGGGGGGGCGGACCGTACCGGGTGGCACCATTTATGGGGGGGGGGGGGAGGTGACACCAAAGCAAAAAAATCGAAAGTTTGAGGGGGGGGGGTGCAAATTGAAAATTGAAAGTTTGTCCCCGGGAAGGGTCGCTACGCCTCTGGGGGTGACACCATTAAGTGCCGCACCGGGTGATACCCGACCTCGCTACGCCACTGACCTAACTATAATAGTAAAATTATCGATACTGACTTTACCGGTTATTGAAATATGTGGTCAATTCTGATCGTACTAAAACTTGCGAATATATTTTAGTAGGAGCAATTATCTACACTCTGAAGATAAAATAACGCTTTTTCATTGTGCAAAATTAGTCATTAATAATTTCTGGCGAAAGTTAAGTAGGCCCTATGTTTCGATAAATGAATCACAATTTACAAAAATTAGGTGTAACTTTTTTTCTTCTTCTTTTTTTTTTTTTTTTGCATCAGATTTTTTTGAATTGACTTTTTTTAAAAAAAAAAAAAAAAGAGAATAAAAAAACTTGTTCAGACTTTCAAGTTGTTTCTGTTAAGATAAAATGTTGCTGTAAGTGGTTTCATATCTGATTACGCTACCCCGCTCTCATACTCTCTAACCCTACCAAGAAATCTAATACAGTGGGATTAAGGGACTTGGAGAGTTTTTGGAAAGTAAAAAAAAATGTTATGAGTAGTAACAGTAGTCGGATAAATGTTAATGCTTCTAAATTGAAACAAAAGTTGTCAGTAAAAACAAAACAACAACTTTAAACATACTCATTGATTTTCATGTTGCCCAACAATTTTTAATTTTTTGGCAATAGGCCTTTCAATAAATGACTCAATCGTTATGGCTGTTGAGTCAGAATTCCACAAGCATCTATTCACTAGATAATTACAGGGTACACAGTAGGGATGGACAGTCGGTGACACGTTCAAAGAGACTGACCGCTCTGACAGGACAATAGTAGTCTTTATACTGACCAGGGGGTGGGGGTGATTTGTTGGGTCACGA